CCAGAAAGGGGGCCAGGGGCCGAAGAGAGGTCGAAGGCTCAGCAATTGCACCGACCGTTGAGACTCAGTAGCTGCATTGCTGTTGGATGTGCAGCGTCATCGATCGGGAGGTTGTAGGGTTTGAGTCCCGAAGGGGACCGAATTTCGACCTTAGCTGCATAGCTGGTCGAATTTACTCACTAGAATTCGGACGGCCTCTAGTCTTATTTAATCAATATCAGTATCAATATTTGATCACCTCAGTTTTCCGTTGTTTCTCCGATCAATATCAGGTGCGTACTGGAGCAATAGTTTAGCAAACGGGTCATGTATCGATAGCGATCTTCCCTTCCTCATCCTTACCGCCTCCTCTCACAAACACAGGCACGAATTCATGCGACTACATTAACACATATGTCAGGAGACTAGTCGCGAACTTAAGAGTTTAATCCAGGATCCAGGAAGATCGCTATAGGATATACTTAAAACAACGTTCGGCGACATATCTCACCTTCTAGCGGGGGTGGAAAGCTATCATTGCGATCTCCCGGGATATAACATGCGCTAAGCTTACGGGACTAACGACCGTTGCAGATGATGCGCCCGAAAACCCTTAATAATCAATCAATTAAAGCATTTGCTTTCAGAGCTGCATGCGACACTGGGGCTCCATATTGTTTCGAATTAGTAAATTTCGTCCCTCAGCGGAAAAATAATCTTCGCAAAGGACTTCAGAAATATTTTTCTACCTCATAACATTTGAATCTACCACTGGATTCTGTAATCAAAGAATGAAGTAAACCATTGCCCACGGAGGAAATATACGTTTACAAAGTTCCGTAGATTGCAAAGTCTGTAAAATCATTTTCAAGTATGTGATAATCAAATTTCAGTTCTATCGTGATTCTATCTCAGTTGTCGAAGATATAAGTCATTTAGAGAAAGCTGTAAATATAACAAATAAGCTTTTAAGTTTAATAATTAAAAGTACCTTAATTTTCTGATACATAAAGATTTTGTAGGTAGTGCCATACGATTCGACAACTATTGTACCGAGTGTTCAATATATTTCTGCGTATGGCGAGGCTGAACTCTTCGTGTTCTTGCACTACATTCTAAGTGGTTGGGCGTGATAACGACTTGTGTTCGCTACCCGATGTTGCAAAACGGCAAGACCAACAATATTTCAATTAACTTCAGTCGTGGCCATCTAGAATTTGCAGTGTAACCGTATGAAGCGCAGAAGGGTTGCTGTTACTGCGGTGGAAGTTTTTGAAATGCACTTGAGAACAAAAATATAAGAATCAAGTTTCACCCATTATTCGTATGAGGGATAAAATCGCGTATTATTTTTTTCGTTAGGCAGTTTTTTGATCAATGTGGTCTAACTAACGTGATGCTCACAAAATTATAACACTTAATTGTTAATGTGTACAAAGACAATTCCTCCTCATGACTAACTTTTGGTTAGCGTGCGCGCCAGTTAGGCAAGACAGTGTGCGTTTTTCTTACAATGTCCCAGTATTCGTATACGTTGTTATGTGACGATGAGAAAATTCACTTGTCAGGTTGAGAAGACCGAAATACGGCGTGGGCATGTCTACGTGC